AATAAGAACCCGGAGTCACAAAACCAAGAAAAGAACAGGACTGAGTCATCATACACTTATTCATCAAGCGGAAGATAGAGAAAGATAACGGGTTTTAAGTGTTAGTGCTTCCAACAATACAGTTCCACAACCCTAATGGGTCAAGGGTTATATTAGAGTAATACTGTTTTACGATATATAAACCTCATATGCAAACCCTTGTTTGTGTGTGTATATTAGTACATCCTTCTAACAGCTGTTGATCATCCACCTTAATTTTAGCTTATGGAGTAATTACCTTCAAAGATTACACGGCTTTTTACGGGGGGAGGGGGTAAAAAGAGGGGTACAGTGTATTTCGTGGTTATTGGTCAAGTTTTGCCTGTAAAATGCAGTTTTTGCCTGTCCAAATAAGAAACAGAATTGGACAGGCAAAAACTGCATTTTATAAAATTAAAAACATCTTGTGCAATATATCCTTGTCATTGAGAGTTAGAAAAAGAATTCTTGCTTGCTACATACATCCAGTTTCAACATATGGTTGTGAATCCTGGACAATCGGTAGGCAGGCCAAAATTTTTTTAGAGGCCTCAGAGATGTGGTTTTACAGAAGAATGCTTAGAATACCTTGGGCAGCCAAAAAGAGCAACCAAGAGGTTTTGAAAGAGGCGAAAGCCCGAAGACAACTTATCACAGACATCAGAAGGAGACAGTCATACCTTTTCGGCCTTGTTATGAGAAGAGGGAAAATAGAAAATGTTGTGACCACAGGAAAGATCTGTGGAAGGAGGGATAGAGGAAGACAACGAGAGAAGATGTTTGACAGTCTTGTTGCAGGGCATGGAGGTGTGTCAGCACACGAACTGATACATGCTGCAGGAGATCGCAGAATATAGAGAGGCATGATCGCGCACGCCAGTCGGCAAGGCACCTGATGATGATGATTGGTCAACTGTATGCTTCAAACTGAAGGTCGTGGGTTCGTTTCTAGGATTGCGTCGGTTGGTCGACTGTTGCAGCGTTGGGATATACTGGCATCGTAGCGTGAGCGACGGACTTCGTGCTTTGTGTGACGCTTCCGGACACCCCCCCCCCCCCCAACCAATAAAAAAAAAAAAAAACCACACACATTAGTTTAGATTCGTGTGTATTTCTGGTTCTACTTTTACATTGAAAACATCTGCAGATCAGACCGGAAGTAAACAACATGGAGAAACACGGCTTGAGGTAACCCACCCCCGCCCACCTTTTGTTCCTGATTGCAATCATTTGTCACTTTGTTTTTAGTTTGATACAAGTATCATAATTTAAGAAACGAGAGTCACCTTCGAGATTAGTGAGAACCATCACCGTAGCAATCATCATAGATACACAGGTGTTCCACTCAGTCACTTCCTAGACAGCTCCGGAACACGTACTCAACTCGCCGTACGTACATACCGTAGCTCAACTCTTTCAGGCCCCTGAATTTTGACACTTAGCCCACATTAATGTCCCTTTACAAAAATGGCAGGGGGTGGATGTTCAAGAAAGGCAATAAAGAATGTAATATGTAACTGCGATGATTTCAATGTAGCTTAGCCATAGTATAGTACAATCTATTTGTTTAGAGAACTTTCCTTCTCTTACACCATAAATATGGTAGCAATGGGACATTGTCTGTGTAATAAACTCATCAGAATCACTAGATTCAGAACAGCTGATCCCTCAGCTTCGCTGGTAAAAGTTTACCATCTGAATCACTTTCCTAAAAATCTAAATTTTTATTATCATTATCAGAATTAAAAACATCTGACTAAAACAATTTCAGAGCTTCGGCCGCAGAAAGACGCATTCTGCGACCTGTACTTGTGGTATGAACATTGGTATTCATGGCAGTCGAAAACGAACTTAGAAAATGCACTGTTGAAAAAATATCTCTGTGAATCCGATCAAATTATGCACGGGTGGTTTCTGATAGTAAATGTAGCTGAAAGGATTTCGGCAGAGTGACTTTCCCTGAATAGTTTAATCGTACTTCCAAACATTAGAAACAAATACAGAGCCTTGTGCGAAGCAATATGTACGGGAAACACGATCGACAATGACAGTGTTCTCAATCAGCGCTCACTCCGTTGCCTGGGGCAACTCTCAATTCCAACGTACCGCGATCGAAACCCACTACAGGCTGCGTGGGTTTTTGTCGTGGTATGGCGCGTCGCAGGCCAACCCAGCCTAAAATGGGTACCAGGATGGGCTGTCCTGGGAAAGTAAAGACAGCCAGCGTAATGCTGACCACATTACCCACAGAGTGCTGATTGGTCTGTTAAAACATTAGTGCTCTTCCCATATGCCTGATGTGCCTAAAGGCCTGAAAAGGAATCTTTACTTCACTTTGAAGAATGTACAATAACAATAACAAACAGCTGTGTTGACTCAAATGTTTTCGCCATTCATAGAATGTTCATTTTTGGCCGCTCCAGGTTGCACTCCCATTTCCATCAGCCTCGACAAGGATACAAAGTCTTTCTTGCGATCTTTGCGATAGGCATCTGGAAAGACATCTAGCGTGACATCTTCATCAATCAATTCTTTTATTTCCAAGTATTTTACACAGGGCCCACTCAATAAATATCTAATAGGATGTGTAAATTATGAATCCCTAGTAAATAATGCTTGTTGGTATTCATATTTATTGACAAATATTTGTAGGATTATAAATTATAAATCCCTAGTAAATAACGCTTGTTGGTATTTCTTGGCCAGTCAAGAAGGACTGTTTTGACAGAGGTTCAGACACAAAGGTAACTTTTTGAGGGTCTCCGAGATGAAGCAGTCAAGCTAGAATTTAAGCGCAGTATGTCAGTTCTTATTTGATTCAGTCATTCATTCCTGTATGGGTTCTGGCACTCCCATTCTGGGGGTAACACGAACAGACCTGCTGCCCCCTCCGCTACCCCCCAACAAGCATGTCATAAAAGGCAACTTATTAGGGGTATTTCCTTAGAGGTACATATTCCTGAAAGGCAAGAAACCAACACTCTGCACACAAATACGCAAGATCTGTAAAATGGATGTGCATGCAAAAGACAGGTTGTGGAACAAGATCAAAATCTAAAAGTGGATGAACAACTAGACCTTTCCGATAGAGTTTACAACCGATGAGTGCCAAGAAGAAGAAGGATTGTAGATAGTTTTTTGTCATGGGCACGGGAAGGTGTCAGCACATGAACTGATTGCCTTCTGATGGCAATTGCAAGATGTGGACAAACATGGTTGCCACTGATTCACAAGGCACTTGATGATATTGAGCATTTTTATAGGTACATGCTTCCACTAAAGCATACATCTAAATATAAATATACCTAGATTCAGCTTTATAGCAGCGCAAACCTGCAAAATAAAGGTGAACAAATTCATCATCTAAGCCACCCTGGAAGCGCAAAAACAAATACAGGAAACCACAACACTAGGTTATAAGTTATGAGTTGGATTATCTTCACAGCACTCCGGACACATCCATAGGCGCTCAGATTCCCCTCTCAACATATTCATTAGCGTCGTGCGGTTAATACTGGGTTACAACCTGGTATGAGTGAGACAACGAAACCACGACACTGGGTTACAAACTGGTATGAGTGAGACAACGAAACCACGACACTGGGTTACAACCTGGTATCAGTGAAAGGATGAAACCACGACACTGGGTAACAACCTGGTATGAGTGAGACGACGAAACCACGACACTGGGTTACAACCTGGTATGAGTGAGATGACGAAACCGCGACACTGGGTTACAACCTGGTATCAGTGAAAGGATGAAACCACGACACTGGGTTACAACCTGGTATCAGTGAAAGGATGAAACCACGACACTGGGTTACAACCTGGTATGAGTGAGATGACGAAACCGCGACACTGGGTTACAACCTGGTATCAGTGAAAGGATGAAACCACGACACTGGGTTACAACCTGGTATCAGTGAAAGGATGAAACCACGACACTGGGTTGCAACCTGGTATCAGTGAAAGGATGAAACCACGACACTGGGTTACAACCTGGTATCAGTGAAAGGATGAAACCACGACACTGGGTTACAACCTGGTATGAGTGAGATGACGAAACCGCGACACTGGGTTACAACCTGGTATCAGTGAAAGGATGAAACCACGACACTGGGTAACAACCTGGTATCAGTGAAAGGATGAAACCACGACACTGGGTTACAACCTGGTATCAGTGAAAGGATGAAACCACGACACTGGGTTACAACCTGGTATCAGTGAAAGGATGAAACCACGACACTGGGTTACAACCTGGTATCAGTGAAAGGATGAAACCACGACACTGGGTTACAACCTGGTATGAGTGAGATGACGAAACCGCGACACTGGGTTACAACCTGGTATCAGTGAAAGGATGAAACCACGACACTGGGTAACAACCTGGTATCAGTGAAAGGATGAAACCACGACACTGGGTTACAACCTGGTATCACCAACCGGGGGGGGGACACTTGGGGTAACAAAACCCTGGTATCAATTGAAGAAAAGGATGAACAAACCACGGACCACTGAAGGATGAAACCACCACACTGGGTTACAACCTGGTATCAGTGAAAGGATGAAACCACGACACTGGGTAACAACCTGGTATGAGTGAGACGACGAAACCACGACACTGGGTTACAACCTGGTATTAGTGAGACAACGAAACCACGACATTGGGTTACAACCTGGTATCAGTGAAAGGATGAAACCACGACACTGGGTTACAATCTGGTATCACTGGGACGACAAAACCACGACACTGGGTTACAACCTGGTGTCAGTGAGACGACAAAACCACGACACTGGGTTACAACCTGGTGTCAGTGAGACGACAAAACCACGACACTGGATTACAACCTGGTGTCAGTGAGATGACAAAAAAAAACAACTTGTGATTCCACGGACTGAACATCATGTCCTTTGATTCACTCATTGCTTTTGTCTTGTCTTATGTTTTCAGATGAGGTTGTGAATGGAGTGATTATTTCATCATGGGGCTGTTCATGAGGAACCTGCCAGGCAGGGAACGGCGGGCGACGAAACGACTGGCGTTTTTTATGATCGGAGGCATGTTGTTTTCTATCGTCATGTTTGTGTTTCTGATGGTGTGCCAGCTGCCATGTGCCAGTGACCAATCCCCTTATGACTATGAGAGGTGGAAGCATAGCAGGAACTTGCTTGCTCCTTCTAAGAACGCCAGATATACTTTAGTTATTTTGATCATATCCAGTCCTGGAAATATCCATGAACGGAATGCTATCCGGGAGACCTGGCTGACGTGGTTGGATGATAGTGTGATTATGTTCCGATTTGTTGTAGGCACTTCAGCGTTAAACAAAGTTCAAAGTTCACAGCTGGTGCAGGAAGATTCCGCACACAAAGACATGCTGTTACTAAACAGTATCATTGATTCTTATGAAGAATTGACAAATAAAATTTTACAAGCATTTATTTGGTTGGACAAACATGTCAACTATCAGTATGTCTTGAAAGTTGATGACGACAGCTTTGTGGTTGTGCCAGGTATTTTGTCTGAACTTCGATACAAGCCAAAAGAAAGACTTTACTGGGGTTTTTTTGATGGCCGTGCCAATGTTAAAACTTCGGGAAAGTGGAAGGAATCAAAGTGGAACTTGTGCGATAAATATTTACCGTATGCTCGTGGCGGTGGCTATGTTTTGTCGTTTGATTTAGTAAATTTTATAGCGTGGAACTCGGATCTGTTACAGTTGTACCTTAGCGAGGATGTGTCCGTAGGAACGTGGTTGGCCCCACTGAAAGTTCATCGTCACCACGACCAGAACTTTGACACAGAGTATATGTCTAGAGGATGTTTGAACTCTTACCTCATTATGCACAAACAGTCGGTGAGTAGTTTCAGAGAACTACATAATAATATAGAAACTGCTGGTGTGCTGTGTAAGACTGAGGTGGTCTTGCGAGGATCGTACGAGTACAACTGGAGTTACCCCCCTTCTCAGTGTTGTAATAGGTCACCGATTGAACAAAGAAGTCCTGATAAGTCTGTGTCTAAAACGTAAAGATGTGTCTTCTTCTTAGCGTTAATAGGCTGTAAACTCCAGAAAAAAGTTATGGTTCTTCGTCCACTTCTTGACTTTTGCAAGCATATCTGTTGTACAGATCTGTCTTGTTTGTATGCAGACTGTTGGTTCCTCGCCTCTCAGGCAATTGTATTCTGACTTCCAAAGAAACACCCCTAATTAGTCGCCTTTTTTGATATGCTGTTCGAAATCAGTGGGTTGGAATCTTTATCCCCCTGAAATGGGGCCTCAGAACCCGACGGGGAACTTGATGATCCACAGGTGGTGGTTCGTGAGCTCACTTGCATGCAGCAGGGTCAGTAAAAAGTAAAAGACCATTTCCCCTAACTTCAGGCATATTGGGCATATAGGGCTAGCCCTATATTTTATAGATTAATCAGCACTTTGTGGGTGTGTGATCAGTGTCATGCTGGTCACATTTACTTCCCAGAATTCCACCTGGCACCACTCAAGGCTGGGTCGACCCGGGAGCCAAGGTAATTTTTTAAGAAAGCCCCGTTTAATCAGGGCCCGAAGCCATGACCTTCTGTTCTGCAGGCGAGCATCTAGCTGCTGCACCACAGTGACTCCCACTTGCACGCATTAGTCTTTCACAAGATGTACTATTCATTAATTCATTGTGTATCTTCTGGGGGTGGGGAGTAGGGGGGGGGGTGCATTCCTAAGAGGTTACAGTATATACATCAGCCACTGAAGGTGCCAGTGAGACCGTGAAGGTGCCAGTGTGACAGTGAAGGTGCCAGTGTGACAGTGAAGGTGCCAGTGGGACCATGAAGGTGCTGGTGTGACAGTGAAGGTGCCAGTGAGACACTGAAGGTGCCAGTGAGACACTGAAGGTGCCAGTGAGACACTGAAGGTGCCAGTGAGACACTGAAGGTGCCAGTGAGACACTGAAGGTGCCAGTGAGACACTGAAGGTGCCAGTGAGACACTGAAGGTGCCAGTGAGACACTGAAGGTGCCAGTGAGACCGTGAAGGTGCTGGTGTGACAGTGAAGGTGACAGTGAAGGTGCCAGTGAGATACTGAAGGTGCCAGTGAGACACTAAAGGTGCCAGTGAGACTGTAAAGGTGCCAGTGAGATACTGAAGGTGCCAGTGAGATACTGAAGGTGCCAGTGAGATACTGAAGGTGCCAGTGAGACACTGAAGGTGTCAGTGAGATACTGAAGGTGCCAGTGAGACACTAAAGGTGCCAGTGAGACTGTAAAGGTGCCAGTGAGATACTGAAGGTGCCAGTGAGATACTGAAGGTGCCAGTGAGACACTGAAGGTGCCAGTGAGATACTGAAGGTGCCAGTGAGATACTGAACGTGCCAGTGAGACACTGAAGGTGCCAGTGAGACACTGAAGGTGCCAGTAAGACTGTGAAGGTGCCAGTGAGACTGTGAAGGTGCCAGTGAGATACTGAAGGTGCCAGTGAGATACTGAAGGTGCCAGTGAGACACTGAAGGTGCCAGTGAGACTGTGAAGGTGCCAGTGAGATACTGAAGGTGCCAGTGAGATACTGAAGGTGCCAGTGAGATATTGAAGGTGCCAGTGAGACTGTAAAGGTGCCAGTGAGATACTGAAGGTGCCAGTGAGATACTAAAGGTGCCAGTGAGATACTGAAGGTGCCAGTGAGACACTGAAGGTGCCAGTGAGACCCTGAAGGTGCCAGTGATGTTGTCAGCTTACCTCAGGCACTGAAGATACCAGTAATGTTGTCAGCTTACCCCAGACACTGAAGGTGCCATTGATGTTGTCAGCTTACCTCAGACTCTGAAGGTGCCAGTGATGTTGTCATCAAGTATATGCTGAGAAATGTTGCTGCGCAAGGAATCCAAGCATTAATGGTTCCATGTGTAGTTAGGATAATCTGTGGAGTAACAGAAGATACCATGCTTGTGTTGCATTTGGTGAAATCACACATCCTGATATGCTGAGTCCATGTGCAAGCTATGTATGTTAAGTGTTAAGTCCTGTAGCAGCTGCGAATCACAGATAGCAGTCCTTAAAGCCAAGCTCTAGTATCGATCTAAGGCTGGGGCAAGAAGGACTATCAGTGAAACTTTGGTCTAAGGCTGAGGCAAGAAGGACTATCAGTGAAACTTGATGGTCTAAGGCTGTGGCAAGAAGGACTATCAGTGAAACTTGATGGTCTAAGGCTGTGGCAAGAAGGACTATCAGTGAAACTTGATGGTCTAAGGCTGTGGCAAGAAGGACTATCAGTGAAACTTGATGGTCTTAAGGCTGTGGCAAGAAGGACATTTTCATGGCATTGTGGTGTTGGGGTGTCTGTGGATTACCTACCTCCCAGGGCAGCAGCCAGAAATGCCCTGTACCAGTTCTAAAAGAAATATGGGTTGTGTTTCTGCCTTCCCCTTTAACACGTAGCTAAGGTGGGGCTCACAGTATGCTCATTCCCCGCCACCAGATTGCCTGCTGGTTTTGCTGAGATCTTCATGGCTCTAAGCCTGGCCTAAGCATGAGTAGTTGGGGCAACTGGATCGTCACGTTCTGAGTCCCTGTGCCTTCACGATAGTTTCCAGTATTCAGGGGAGTTAGCATACTTGTTTCCATTCCTAAGACTGTTCAGCACACCTCCGGCTCATTCCCACAGGGGGCAGTACGGTGTGGTGCACCGGATTTATTATCGAGGTTTGCTCCTCTAGATCAATTGTGTTTCGCACCCCCAGTTACCAGGACTACCTCGGGGAGGCTGTGACTCTTTGCCACACACAATGGTCTTGAGGTAAGAGAGGTTTTGCTAGTTCGAGAGGCGGACAACGCAATGGACGCTCCTTTCGTGAACAGATATTCACTAGACCTAGGGTGAAGTGGGGGGGGGGGGGGAGGGGAATCACTACCCACAACACCAGCACTTCTCACCCCCTGCCTCTCGAGGCTCAGTCCCACAAGAAGGACTATCAGTGAAACTTGATGGTCAAAGGCTGGGGCAAGAAGGACTATCAGTGAAACTTGATGGTCTAAGGCTGGGGCAAGAAGGACTATCAGTGAAACTTGATGGTCAAAGGCTGGGGCAAGAAGGACTATCAGTGAAACTTGATGGTCAAAGGCTGGGGCAAGAAGGACTATCAGTGAAACTTGATGGTCTAAGGCTGGGGCAAGAAGGACTATCAGTGAAACTTGATGGTCAAAGGCTGGGGCAAGAAGGACTATCAGTGAAACTTGATGGTCTAAGGCTGGGGCAAGAAGGACTATCAGTGAAACTTGATGGTCTAAGGCTGGGGCAAGAAGGACTATCAGTGAAACTTGATGGTCTAAGGCTGGGGCAAGAAGGACTATCAGTGAAACTTGATGGTCTAAGGCTGGGGCAAGAAGGACTATCAGTGAAACTTGATGGTCGAAGGCTGGGGCAAGAAGGACTATCAGTGAAACTTGATGGTCTAAGGCTGGGGCAAGAAGGACTATCAGTGAAACTTGATGGTCGAAGGCTGGGGCAAGAAGGACTATCAGTGAAACTTTATGGTCTAAGACAGGGCTGTTTAACTAAGTTTACTCAGGATCCCAAATGTTGTAAATGGGGAGTATCAGTGGCCATCTGTCTGAGCCCCAGTGTAGAAAGATCACTAATACAGTACAGTTAGCAATGATCTAAGGGCTACTTGCTAGGCCCCGGCGGGCCAGATTTGGCCCACATCCCGCCAGTTGGCATGAAGGAATATTTAGTGAAACCTAATGGTCTAGCAAGTGTTTTCCTGTTAAATAAAAATATTTTAAAACTTATTATTCAGTGGCACTTTCTTATGGTTAAAATCTAGTTAGTTGATATATTATTTCAGGTAGGTAGGTGCTTTGCATGAAAAAAAAAACAATAAAAGATTGCCACGTTCAACTGGGGGGGAGCTTTAGGTTATAATTGTGACTAGGTTATGTGGGCTATATAAAATGGCTTAGCACTAAGATCTCTGCAGTGTTGATGTGTAAAAAAAAAACAAAGACCAAAATATTGTCCTGGCTGGTGACAAAGTCGTCTACCGGCGAGTCAATAGGCGACCCGGTGGCCGAATGTTGAATTAGGAATTGACATCACAGGACTCAGGACACCCCCATAAACGCTCCGTCCCCATCTTCAGCAGCAAGCGAAGACTTAAAATCCCATTGGTACCAGTAACTGTCTGATTGTATATCTGTCTCGTCTTTCTCCTGAATGTCGAGCGTTGGCCAAATTCCCTTGTAACTCCCCGCAGTGCCATTCTCCTCAGACCATAATGATCTATCTGTGCCTCAGCACTGTTCACTCGCTCCCAAAGGGCCCTCACAACATCTAGCTTGTTGTAATAAGTTCACCACCAAGTGGTGTAGAACTAGCCAGTCTATCTGCCTGCTCATTTCCCAACACACTGGCATGACCTGGGAACAAAATCCAAAGAATGCTAACTACCCGGGACCTCTGAAGTGATGCTTGCCACTCTGCACGGAGCATGCCTGTCTCCACCTTTCTCAGCATGCTCTGTGAGTCAATGACAATCATGGCATGTCTGTACAGCTGATTCTTCCATCCAGCGGAAGGCAGCAGAGACTGCCTTCACCTCCATTCTCAAACTAGACGTTGTGATATCATATGCCAGGCTTTTTTGCACCAAGCGACGTCCATTCGCCTTTGCTATGAACCCCCATGCACTTTGTCTGCCCCCAAACACACAGCCATCTGTATGTACATACAATCACATCGCTTGGGCAGGAATTTTCATGAATCATTTGTTGAACTTCTGATTCTGCAGCACAAGCTGGCCAGTCCCCCCACTCACAGCCCAAAGTGATTAGAACTCTGTAACAATCTGAAATCTTATTGGACACTTTGACCCACTCCTCTCCTCGTCTAAATTTATCAAGCCTGCACTCATGTTAATTGTGTCTTTAGCTAGCATCATCCAAGACATTCCTCTTTTCAGTCTGTGACCATTAGCTCTATCCAGGGCTTCATGCAGGAGGTGCCTCTTGTCCGCAGCTACTCTGAGATATGACTTTACCTGCAAAA